ACACAGTTGAAAATATTTTCACACCCAATAAAACACAGGTAAACATCTTTCTGGTATTCACTGCTTTCAGCCCAAAACCATCAGATGTCAGAAATGATATTGCTCCTTCCACGTCCTAATCTGAATCTGGCTTGAACATCTGACAATTCCCTGTCAATGTACTCTAGCAGCAGTTTTTGCATTATCTTTAAAAAGTTTTATGTGCTTGTGATATTAATGATATTATTATATAATTTTTGTATTCTATTTGTCACAAATATGGATTTCTTCCCATCAGTTGGTCAGGCAGTTGTCTTCCAAATTTCTTAGCATAAATGAGTGTGTGCCTCCAGTGCTGCATCAGTTTGCTGAAAGATTTCAATTTGTATTCTATCTGTTACTAGAGCCTTGTTCTTTGCCAATGTCTTTAATGTACCTTGGACTTCTTCCTTCAGTATCACTGGCTCTTGATCATATGCTAACTCTTGAAATGGTTAAACAAAGACTATTTCTTTTTGGTACAGTGACTTTGTGTATTTCTTTCATCTTCTTTTGATGCTTTCGGCACTGCTCAATTTTTTTGCCCATAGACTCCTTCAGTATTGCAAGTCAAAGCTTGAATATATTTCCTAGAGTACTTTCAGCTGAAGAAACACTGAGCATGTTCTTCCCTTTTGGTTTCCTAACTCCAGGTCTTTGCACATTTCATTATAATATTTGACTTTGTCTTCTCAAAGCTACCCTTTGAAAATTTCCATTCAGCTATTTTACATCCTCATTTCTTTGATTTGTTTTAGTATCTATATAGTGGAGAGCAAGTTTCAGAGTCTGACATTCGTTTTGGTCTTTTCTTTCTTCTTTGTCTTTTTAATGACCTTTTGCTTTCTTACCATTTGATGTTCTAATGTCATCCCAAAACTCTCCTGGTTTTCGGTCATCAGTGTCTAATGCATCAAATCTGTTCTTAAGATGATCTCTAAATTCAGATGGGACATGTGCAAGGTCATATTTCAGCTCTGTGTACTTGTTTTATTTTTCTTCAGCTTCAGTCTGAATTTGCAATATGAGCAATGGATGGTCTGTGCCACAGTCTGCCCCTGGCCTAGTTTTAGCTGATGATATGGAGTGTTTCATCTCTTTCTACATATGTAGTCAATTTGATTTCCATGCATTCATTTTGGTAGAGTCCATGTGTATAATCATCTTTTATGTGTTTAAAAAAGATATTTTCAATGAAGAAATCATTGGTCTTATAAAATTCCATCATGCAATCTCCAGCATCATTTCTATCAACTCTACCATATTTTCCAACAATTGATCCTTCTTCTTTTGTTTCCAACCTTTGCATTCCAATCACCAAGAATTATCAATAAATCTTTGCACATTTGATCAATTTCAGACTGAAAAAGCTAGTAGAATTCTTCAGTCTGAAAGAACTCTAATTTTAATAATAGTGGGATTAATTGGTCTTCCTTGTTGTTTTTGCTGTTAGGCGCCATCGAGTCGGTACCAACTAATAGCAACCTTACGCACACAACTAAACACTGCCCGTTCCTGGGCCAACCTCACTACTGTTACCATGCTTGAGTCCATCGATGCTGCAACTTGGCCAATCCACCTCGTTGGGGGTCTTCCTCTTTTTCTCTAACCCTCCACCTTACCAAACATGATATCCTTCCCCAGAGAATGGTCCCTCCTGACAATATGTCAGAAATATGAGAGACAAAGTTTGGCCATATTGGCCTCCAAGGAGCACTCTGGCTGCACTTCTACCAGAACAGATCTATTTATTGGTTCTTGTGGCAGCCCTTGGCACCTTCAATATTTCCCTCCAATACCGTAACTCAAAGCATCAGTTCTTCTACGGTCTTCCTTATACGGTCCAGCTTTTGCATGCATATGAGGTGACTGAAAATACTATGGTTTGGGTCAGGTGCACCTTAGCCCTCAAGCTGACATCTTTGCTCTTCAAACACTTTAAAAAGGTCTTATGCAGCAGATATGCCTAATGCAATATGTAGTTTGATTTCTTGACTGCTGTTGCCGTGAGTGTTGATAGTTGATCCAAGAGGAATGAAGTCCTTGACAATTTCAATCTTTTCTCCATTGATAAGAATGTTGTTTATTGGTCCAGTGGTGAGGATTTTTGTTTTCTTGACACTGAGATGTAATCCATACCGAAGGCTGTGCTCTTTGATCTTCATCAGTAAATGTTTTAAGTCCTCTTCACTTTCAGCAAGCAAGGTTGTACCAGCTACATATCGCAGGTTGTTAATGAGTCTTCCTCTAATCATGATGCCACGTTTTTCTTCATAGAACCCAGCTTCTCGGATTATGTGCTCAGCATACAGGTTGAATAAGTATAGTGAAAGAATACAACCTGTCGCACACCTTTCTTAAACTATTCAGTGTTCCCATGTTCTGTTCGAATAACTGCTTATTGGTCCAGGTACAGATTCCTCATGAGCACAATTAAGTGTTCCAGAATACTCATACTTCGCAATGTTGTCCATAGCTTGTCATGATCCACACAATCGAAAGGTCTTCCTTGTAGGTATATAGATACTATTCTATCACAGACAGCAATATGCTTCAAGATAGATCTTGAAATTTTCTTTTTGATGATGAATGCTAACACCATTCCTCTTCAATTTGTCATTCTTGACATAGTAAATCATGTAACTGTTAGATTCAAAATGGCCAATATCTGTCCATTTCAGCTAACAAATCACTAGGATATCGATGTTTATTCATTCCATTTAATTTTTGACAACTTACTATTTTCCTAGATTCATACTTTGCACATGTTCCAACTATTAATGGATGTTTGCATCTGTTTCTCCTCATTTTGAGTTGTCCCCATCAGCAAATAAAGGTCCTAAAGGCTTTACTCCATTTACGTCATCACAGTCAACTCTGAGGAAGACTGCTCTTCCTCAATCACATCTTGAATATCTTCCAACCTGTGGGGCTCTTCTTCTGGCACTGTATCTCCCAATATTCTGGTGCCATTCATTATGTTTCAATATTCTAGTGTTATCTGACATTGTTTCACTGCTATTCAGAAGGTTTTCATTCAATGGCTAAACATTCAGAAGCAGTCCACCTCTCCTTCTTCCTAGTCTGTCTTAGTCTGGAAGCTTAGCTGAAGCCTGTCTACCATGATTGACCCTGCCAGCATTAAAAATACTAATGGCTTCCAGCATCACAGCAACAAGCAATCCACTGCAGTGCAATAAATTACAGATGAGAGGTGATCTGTCATGGGAGGGATCAGATAATGGTGAACACAGGACATTCTCTACTACCATTTACAAGAAGAATATAATAAATAAAAGGGGGCAAATTTAATGAAAAAGAATATTCCATGAACTTTTTGAGTCCCTGTACAGATAAATATCAGATATAAAAGAATAAATAGCAGTTTGTGTTAAAAACATAAAGTTTTGTTGTTTAAGTGTTCAGCTGCTTCCAACTCATAAGAACCCTACATAGGGTTTCTGAGGCTGTACACCTTTATAGGAAAAGAAAGCCTCAAAATACAGAATCACCATTTAAAAACTTAATTACAATGCTATCTTTATATGACATTATTTCAAAGATAAAAATATACTAAATTGGAATGGCTGCATTAATAAATTAAAAAATACAACTTATGAATTCAGATTGTTATTATTTTTAAGTGTCATTGAGTTGATTTTGACTCATAGCAACCCTGAAGAAGGTTTCTGAATCTCTAAATCTTTGAAGGAGCAGAAAGCCTCCTATTTCTCCTATGGAGTGGCTCGTAGAATTGAAACACCACCCTTATGGTTGACAGTCCAGTACTTATTGTATGGAGCCACTGTGCTCCCATGAACTAAAATTATAATTACAGAAGTAATAAAATTCTAATCAATTATATTACCATATAACTGACCTATTTCCTATGAGCTAAGAAAAATAATCATCCAATGTTCTAGAGACAAAATATCTAAAGGGATTGGTGTACTTTTACAAAGCAAAACCATTAAGAGTTTTAACTACGTAATGATTATCTATAAACTTAGTATTTTTAAAATAAATGGCTTACTAATCTAGTTAACTGGCACAAGCAGAGATTAGACTAGAGTTATGTTTCTAATTTGCTTTTGTACAAATGTATAGTCATACATACTTATTTCCCATTTTTCTTTAAAATTCTTGTTACTTGGGGGGGGGGAATGTGGAAGAATAGTGTAAGAACATATTTAACATAAATATCTGAGTTGCTATGCCCATTTCTAAAGTCCCCTCATGAAAAGCAAGTGATTCGCACTGAGCTCATGGGTCGGAATCGACTCGTCGGCACTTAACAACAACTACTAATCTAAAAGGTTGGTAGTTCAAACTCACAAAGCAGCACTGCAGAAGAAAACTTTAGTGAAATCCTTCCATAAAGATAACAGTCACGAATAACTCTTATGGGGCAATTCTACTTTATAACATACAGGTCACCATAAGTCAGAATCGACGGGACAGCAATTGGTTTTTTGTTTTTTTTAATATTCATTGTTAATATTTTTATAGAAATATGTTTTATAGAAAGGATATAGCTTACTCCCAATTAACCAAAAGAAAAATATCATTTAATCCTGGGTATAAAAGATACAACAGAAGAGAGATTAAATAACATAAGATATATAAAAACTTTATGCTCTTTTCAAAAGATCTGATCGCAACCTTAGGGGGCAGTGAGTTTATGTTAATGGAGTAACAAATTAGAAAAAAGGGTGAGAAAGCTTACACAACTCGAGGAAAGTAATCAATGTCACTAAATTATACATGTAGAAATTATAGAATTGGAATATGTTTTGTTCTGTATATTTTCAACAACAACAAAAAACTTCAAGAAAAAAACACCTTTGCAGTCTCTTTTTGAGTATGTATCTCATTACAATGCATAGAGATTGTTAGATTAATATTTTCATTTTTACTTACCTTATTCCAAACCTTCACTTTAAACATTAATATGTTCAAAATCTATAAAAAATAAATCATACCATATGTCCTTCAGCTCGAGCTTTATTCTGCATAGCTTCTTGTTTTCTCTGTAGGAACTCTTCTACTTGTTTAGCTCTTTCCACATGTAGGTGCCCCTTTCGCCTGAATAATTTGGACAAAAAATAAAATCAGCCATTGTAAATTTAAGCATTTCAAAAGTTTAAAATTATACTTACTCTAGATAATTTTTTGGTTGCAGAACATGAACAAATTTGATATGAAAGAAAACCATTTGTAATGAAGAAATAGCAACCTATTTATTGGCATTTACTACCTAAATCACTTTTTTTATAGTTTATCTTAATTAATTTTAATTAATTAAAAGTAAAAACTATAGCACTACGCCAAGTCATGATAAAGTTCCTCTTACATTTATTTATTTGATCTCTTCTAGTTGTAAACACAAAATTATTATTTTAGACAATACTTTGAGTTGTGATGTTGGAGGAGAATACTGGAAGTGCCAGGGACTGCCAAAAGAACCAATAGATCTGTTTTGGAAGAAGTACAGCCAGAGTGCTCCTTGGAGGCCAGGATGGCTAAGCTTCTCTCTCATACTTTGGACATATTGTCCGGAGGAAACAATCGTTGGAGAAGGATGTCATGCTGGGTAAGGTGGAGGGTCAGAGAAAAAGAGGAAGACCCCTAACGAGATGGATTGGCCAGGTGGCATCACTGATGGACTCAAGTGTGGCAGCGGTAGTGAGGTTGGCCCAGGATCGGACATTGTTTCGTTCTGCTGTGCATGGGGTCGCTATGAGTCAGTTCTGACTCGATGTCACCTGACAACAACTTAATTATAGAAAAATCTATTTAGTTCCTAGGCTATTGAATATATTTCTGCACTCTATAAGTATCCCTAAGATGATTCCTTAATCAATATTAAAGTCAAATGAAAGCAGCAGAGCTGCGGCAACAAAAATGAACAAATACAATGAAAAGTTTGCTTGATAGGATTGAGTTTTTTAAAATACAGTAAAAATTTATGTCTGAATTCTTTGAATACCACAATGATTAAAAATTGAAATGGATAAGCTAGGTAAAAATTAAAAGCACAGTTATTTGTTCTGATTTTTTAAATTTTTATTTCTGGTAACTTTATTTGACAATTACAAAAGAATTTAAAATGGTGAGTTTATATCACAAATAAAAACATCAATAACAAGCATTTATTGAATAGCCACTAATATGTCAGTTACTAAGCTAATTATTAGAGACAAAAAGATATACAAAATCCAATCCCACCAATCAGAGAACTCATAGCATGAATAACCTATAGCTAATTTTGATGCTGAGAAAGTAACATAAACAAGTTTAAAGGCTGTGTTTCTAAACCTAAGATATAAAAATTTCCCACAGCTTCTCTTAGGGATTGGTTATCACACTGCGTTAGGCTGTGAAAAACATATGAAATATTCCTTTTCCATCTGATACTATAGATAAACACTGCGCTGCTAACCACAGGTCAGTAGTTCAAACTCAACAACCACTCCACAGGAGAGAGATGATACTGTCTGCTTCCATAAAGAAGCAGTCTCAGAAACCCTAGAGAGGGTTGCTATGAATGAGAATAGACTTGATAGTTGTGAGTTTGGTCTTTGGTTTTGGCTGATTTCATTAAGATTTAAACACTGATCTTCATGCCTCAACTAATCACTTCCGTTACATTTTATATCAAATACTCCTAAGTAAAATTTTACAAAATATGAATCTAGGAAAACTGGAAATTGTAAAAAATAAAATGGAGGCAGGCTTGCAGAATATGCCCTTTGGTTGTTTAAATTATTATATATTCACGAGTGTTTTTGTGCTACACCCCCCACCCCAAAAAAAAAAACCCCAGAGGAAATGGAAGCAAATACTGTTGAATGATGATGCATGGAGGAGATTGTAATCATTGCAATGAAACAATGAGTGTAAAATCGATGTTCTCCCATGTAAACTATCACTGAATTCACAATAAAAACTTATGGTCTTTCATCCTCTAGCAGGCTACTGTGGGCTTCTTCATGTGGTAGTTGGGGGAAAGTTTCTGAGAAAGAGAAAGCACAGGACTTGGGGCTTTGTCAAGCCCATCACATTCTACTGGCCAAAGTAGGTCACAGGGCAGCACAGATTTAAAGAAAAGAGACATAGACTTTACCTACTGAGAGACGCTTCAAAGACACGTGCAAACAGGGTTGAAAAGGATGGGCAACTTAGATATTGGCTACCCAAAATTGGGGGGGTTGTGTGTGCTATAAAAGCACAAAGTGGCTTACAAATTTTCAAGAGGGAACTTAGTTTCAGAGGGTGCGGGGGAAGGTAGAATCTCCACTTGAGTGTCTAGACTGTCTAGACTGGGCTGGTGAAAGGAGATGTGGATGAGACTCTTGGGGTTCAATAGTGAATAATTGTTATCAAGACTGATTGTGATTGTTGCAAATGCAAAGGTAGACATTTTATAACAAAAAGAGGAGTGTGGTTGATCTTGATCTTGCAATCCAGGAGCAGAGGACCCTAGGACCATCAAGGGAGAAGAGCAGAGTGTGGGACCCTATCCAGGGAAGCAGCAACATCACAGATGGAAGCAGAGAAAATTGCATGGAGAGATGGAGTAGCTGGGGACTCCAGACTCAAAGAGGGAGAAATGACTATGTGCTGATGGCTGGGGGGCAGGCTTGCAGGGTATGCCCTTTGGTGTTTTGAATGGTTATACATTCCTGAGTGCTTCGGTGTACATCCAAAAAAACCCA